AAAAAGTTCACTGGCCTTGGCATGGGCACCCTGGCAATAACGCGCCCACATGCAAATCATTGAACGCTTTTCTTTTTTATGAATATTATTGTACCATTATTTACCTGGCACAGTCTGTGAAACAGATAATGAATGAACTCTGCGGATCCCGAAATATGTTTCTGTTTCTGAAGAACTAATCGTTTAAGTGAAGTTACAGGTTACAGGCTATTACAAGCCCGTTGTTGCATGAACTACAGGAACTCAGAACGCTTTTTTCTCTCTCGTAACGAATGCATTTCATTCGGTTGAAACTGACATGCCCATAACTCCGCAATACTTCTTTTGTTTTTTTTCTAACAGCCCCATACTTCCACTCCGACCACGTCTTTCACCGAGACCAATCAATCGCACCTTGCTCAGTCATCTCATGCGCACCCGGTCTCGCACACCGGTTTGGACCCACTCGTTTCCCGTACACATGCCAATCCAACTGAACGATACGAACAGATACCGCCATCCAGTACGGAATCGCAACTTGGTAAGAAAATGTTTCCTTATTTGTTTATTGACCTAATTCACCAGTTCCTTATCACATAAACACCCATTTCCTGCCTTCTTTTTTAACCTTTTTTTCAATGCAATTTTATTGTTGATCCCATATTCATACTTTACTATCTTTTCTCATATTTTTCGATGCAATTGTTTTGCACTGTGATACGACTTGTAGTTTGTCTTATTCGGGTTTTGCCTGCCCCTGCGTTTAACGCAAACACTACTGTGATTCTCGCTTTGTGTGTGTCTGTGTAATCCCCTCAATCACTGTCTACCGAAATCATGCAATTATGTCACAATTTGTACAGATCACCTTCGAGGAATCCTCGATTCTGTTTCTACCACACGAATCCACGGATTCACATCCCATGCTGATAAAGTATTGAAAATTGGTTCTCGTAGCTCTCGGATGAACTGAATTCCATTTCGCCTGTTCGCCGAGCTTGGCAATTTGTTTCTTCACCAACAGCCAAGATGACATCATCAGTGCTAATGATGCATGCAACACTATCCTTGACCTATTCGATCAAATCGGACAATGTTTCTCCGTCTTATTTTTCACGCATATCCGTTAGGGATTGTATTCCTTGCCCTGTATTCCGCCACACCAAACTCATAGCTCACCAAACCGCGGTGTTTCTTGTCTCAGAACGCATTGATTTGTTGTCCAATACTGGACGTTTTTGAAGTTATTGCGAAAAATGAATGAATCTGGTTTACCAGCTAGATAAAGTGAACTCGTACGGCATCCATCTGCGATTTGTTAGGAATTTCAGTAAACAATATCAGAATCAGTTGGTTTGTGATTTACTTTATTCCTTAAGATCGGTTTCATTTCCCTGTTTGTTTGTTTTTCACACAAATTGTTTGCATTTCCTCTTTTATTGTTTTTTTTCTGTCATCTCGCTATTGGTTTCGTTATCTGAACTTCACTTTTAGGTTTTCCTGAAGTCTTTCTTTTTGTTACCTACATCATGAATAGACATTCCGTGGGTCTTTTGCATATAGTGTTCGTTTCTTGTTTTAGGCCCGCTTAACACTCATCAGCCGTTAGCCGCACGCCTGCCTCTGTCTAGTTCGACTGGGAATGTTGAACGAGGGCCTAGCATAGGTCCGTCCGACTCGATGGGAATGTCGTCTGGTGACTCTTTCGAACAATTGGCTGCCCAAGCAGCTGCTCAGCTTGGTGTGACCACATCTATCGACCCGGGAGCTCTTGGACGTATGTGCTCCGAATCGCCTTTCACAGATACAAGTCAGTCATTTATCAGTTGTCGTTTAGGTCGATTGCATCCAAACAAAGTTCCACAACAGACTATTATCAAGTGCATTGTTATTAGTTGTACAAACTAAACTGAACTGAACTTATGGTAGTCATAAAATGAAAACTAGCGCATGCGTACACCACACGATGCCAGTCGGTTTTTATTGTCTACTGATTTTCACACGCGTTGTACCCGTATAGTCAGTTCTTATGGTTGCTATCGCGTGTATTTCAGTTACTCGATGCGACATGACGATAGCAAACCACTCAATATAGCTTTCAGACTTCAAATGAAACCGTTGTAACTTGAAGTGAATCCAGTCAATCGCATTCTCTTGGAAGCTTCACAAAGTGATTGGTGCTTTAGCCGTGACATCTTACCGACTGGACCGGGTCGATCAAAACCCCGTCCAGTTTGAATGAACAGATTTCTCCATAGACAAACAAAAGTACTTTTTGAGTAAATTATCGAGCGAGAGTGAATGTTTCGGTGGTTTGAGGCGGGATGATGTTTGACTGTTCACGTCCTTGTCCCACCCGGGGAATTTGATGTCCTTGACCGTTGATCGAGTGAGCTTTTGAAGAGAATGAACGAAACAGGCAGCAATTGACATCGGTCGACCGAGTAGGGAAGCGAATCACGTCAAGATGGATTGATAAATCGGTCACTATGTTCACTCCTTAACACCGAAACAGCAGCTCCTACTCTACCTAATGGAACTGACATTAACATGCGCGATGCTGTTGCCAGCATTGTCCCTGCATGCACTTATCACGAATCGGCCCGATCGAATCCTTGCAAATCAAGTTTCATCTGTTGTCTAGTACGAATGTCCTACCTTCCTTTCCCCTGTACTGTGTGTGAACTTCTCAATAATTCTCGAACATCGATCGCAGCAACTTAATGCCCAATTGCTGGAGTGCCGACTGAAGGTTCACCAGAATTTCGTTTCATTACCGGCATATCAGTTGTGTTTGAAGGTGTTTAAGAGGTTCCTAATTAAAATCCTCTATTGAAACAGTTCAATTTTGATCACCCATATCGCTATCGGCATATACACTCATTTCCGAGGTACTCTGAACGCCGTTGCTTCTATCCCCCCACCTTGATAAGAGAAGCAAGGTTGTTCACATATTCTCTAGACTACAGACCACAAACTCATTTCCGGATCCCGCAAATTTCTGTCCGTATATAGTCATATACCACGGGACACATGTGGTACTGTGTGCACGGTGTGACATACCATCTCAAAACCTGTCAAACATTTTTGCAAATTTTATCTAACTGTTCCCATCTTCCGTATCCTGCTGTTAGTCAGTGTCTTTCTTATTCGTCCATCCGTTTTCTAGTTATAAACGTATCCCAATCGTTCACTGAAACTCACACAATCGCTCTGTTGTCTTCTTCTATCTTGTCAAATTTCTCACAAACTATGAACGTGTTATTGTTGTTGTTCATCTTTTTTAATTGTACTATATTTCTCATTGCTTAACATATTGTGATTATACAGTTACTCTCGGGATGCATAAAGTGATCCCTTCACTTGACTGATCATCCTGAGTCGAACCATATATAACTCCTGTCAGTTATTATTGTTATCATTAATTACGTGTCTCACTCGCGGAACCACGAGGATCAGGCTGTGAAAAGTTGTGACGAAAATGATTGACAAAAGGGAAAAGCTGCATACGATGGGTTGTTGCCATTAACATTGTGAATGGAATGCATTTGTGATCCAGAAGTGGCAGTAAAAAAACGTAATTTCTAATGGCGAGTGAATGAGTTTGATCTTGTGATTCAGATGAGATACCGGATCCTTCATACCATCATTGTCAAGTATAATCTCAAGTGTGCCTTTCAATCCCGTAAATGTGTAGGCGATTGCATTTGTCTCGAGAGGACTGGGGCTTATTCGAGGCAGCCTCGGTCTCAACGGAATTTAACCACTAGGCTGTTGAGGGCGCGAATTCATTGGAAGTTGTTTGTCCGGTGATGTTCCCGTTCGCTCGTCTGTGTTTCTTCATGCGCTATATTGGCACCTTGGACATACTCGATGAATATATATAAATATACCGCCGACTATTGACCAATGCGAAACTCCATTTTGCATTTCATTAGTTAAATTCCTTCACCCCATATGAAGTGGTTTGATCATCCGCCATTTGATCTGTGTTGTGTGTTGCGCGTACGCGCACAAGACCAATTTGTGTGGTAATGGTTTTCCGACAAAATCGAAGGAGTAGTAAGCAACCCGAAGATGTACAAACGGCTTGTCAAGGCCGTTCGAGTTTGTGCACTTATCAGGGTTGAAAAATCCTGTTCTCAAACAGCAGTCTATTGATTAGAGCATTGTTTTCAATTTACTCGTCCTAGTAGTCACAAGCTCGGTATATGATTTCTCTACATACATCTCTAGTGTCGGTTCACCTTCTGAGTGGTTCATTCCTCGACAGCATTTCGTAGCCTTTGCTCACCCATCGCCTACAAGGGTGTTTCTATACTCATCCAGATGCTATCAAAAAAAAATCCGCCATCATAATTTGTTCAGACATGTAATAGATCGGTTCTTTCTGGTGTATGAACGCCCAGGAATTGATTGATCCGGATGCCTTCTTGTTTCTCAAACTAGAGCTACTTTAACTTTGTCAGTAATCGCTCCAAAGTAAACATGTATCGCTCACATCTCTTCGTGATTGTCCTCCTTTTCATCCACTTTCCATCCTTATTGAGTATTTGTTTTTTTAACTGATTTCTTTATTATTTCCTTTTTGTGTATTCCACCCGGAATTTGTGTGTCCTATGCGGATTTTTCACTCGCTATCTGTTTCAACAGTTATTCGTTTCGTCGCCTACGCACTTCCACCCACTCGCCACTCCTTCTTTCTAGTCATTTGTTCTTCGTTGATATTTCGTATTTCGCCGATTCCGAGCCTTGTAAACAACGCAAACAACTGGCTCGTCAAATCCTTACAATCTCCCCCCGCCGCCTTCTCCGGTCTCCGACAAATTTTATTCCCACTTGGTGTTTAAATGCTGTAAAAGTGTTTTTTTTTCAAATGTTCTTCATCTGTAAGAATAAAAATACCGTTCATGTAACGTTTTTGTACAGGGTGGACTTGAACTCGTAACTCTCTTGTGCCTCATTGTGTGACAGATTATTTTGATCTCTCTAATACTTTGGATAACATGACAATATCCTAACAGATAATGTATTCGATAGATGTGGATTCACATTTCACTAATGTACGACTTTATCAAATAATGGATTTTTTTGTGACTATATTTCTTCAAACGATTTTACCCCTAATATTCCTATAGAATAAGAGAACTTATTCCTATGTATACAGAGAACGTTCATTTTGAGTTTGAAGGGACAGCATACAAACAGATTATTGGTGTGGCAATGAACAGTCCATCAGGTCCCATATTATCAGACGTGGACGATATGTTTATTCTTACAGACAAAGAACATTTGATTTTCATCTATATTTAGATCCTTTCTACATCTGCATTCATGAATCTGTTTCCGTGCTCAGTGAATCTTTGAAACCCAATCAATTTTCTCTCTTTTCGTGATGGGGTTGATTTATTTCGCTCTCTTTGATTAGAGAAGCCCAATTCCCTGGTTCAGGCATCGATCGATCATTCAGTGCCCGTAGTTTAAACCTCAACATCACGAAACCGTCTTGACGGTAGACAGCCGAACCATCATACATGGGTCATTACGAAACGTGTATTGCCGTCACGTTTTACACCGGATCTGTTTATTCATTTCATTTCACCTCACTTTCATCTCTGATGTGTCGTTTACGGCAAACTAACAGTTGACTTGAAAATCCGACGGGCCCGGATAGGATAGGTTATAAATCCCATTTTATGATACCACATTCGTCTTTTTGTTCTCTACTGGTTTGTGCTTTCTTTTCTGCACTCCGGTTTTTGTCTTTTCTAACACGACCGGAGTTGGTTTGATCTATTATTTCCGGATCTATTGCCGGAGAGTTGTGGTTGTCACCTGAATAGCAATGAAACAGGTGTGGTTGATTGTAAATCAACTGCATATGGCATATTGCATTCATTTGTTTTGTGCCGTTTACCTTTTGTCCCCTTTCAGATCCTCTCTCTATCCCAACTCACTATTCCAACACCCATACGACGCATTTTACTTCTACTCCCGGACCTGGAGCAAAAGCTTCGTCCATTCCCGGTGGTGTCAATGTTTTTCCCGCTCATTTACCCAACCAACACCCAACACAATCTGTTGCCAGTCCCATGCCCACCACCTCGTTGACCGATCAATCTGCCTCGGGGTTGTGGATGGATTCACAACTCAACCGGGACCATAATGATCCATGGACTAATAGTCCCGGTTACTATGCAAACAATAGTAGCACAGGCGAGGTGAGTGTCGGTACATCCGAGTTCACCAGCCAGTCAAGCACATCCTACGCGAATGATCGAATGCAGTCTGGTGTTGTCTGTCCAAATCGCGTATCGGAAAAAATACAGCAGCTGGTCAATACGCTTAAACGTCCAAAACGCCGTCCTTTACCCGAATATTTCCTAGACGAAGAGGATCAGATTCTCGTACGACAAGTTACAGATCCGTCTGCCCCCAGACCACGAGGACCGCAGTCTCAACCGCTACGTGGGGAAGAACTGGTGGTAAGCACTGAGTCTCGCTAATCTAATCGTTTTCGATCACATTTGTTTTCCCGTTGCTTCAGACAGCACTTTTGACATCCGATTCAAAATCATTACGCTTGACCAACAATGCTTTTGCGACCCACTGTTCATAAAAAACTTCAGAAGTGATTGGAAAGTTTTGAAATAAAACTGGCTGTGTAGAAACAACCCAATTGTGTCCACAAGTAAATTTAACACAAGAATCACGTAATCTTAAACCGAGAGGCACACAGACACCAAAGCAAATGCCTTGGTGTCTGTGAATCGCGCAGAGTATCCTTACATTCGGTGTCAAAGATTCAAAGATTTATTATGGGAAAAACTTACAAGCTCATGCTT